GGGGGGGGGGGGCGGTTAGGGTTTAGGGTTAACGGAGGTTTAGGGTTTGGGGTTTGGGGTTTGGGGTTGCTGATTGGATGCTGCGCGTGCATACCATTCTGGTGAGGTTTCACATCCAAAGTCGCGGTTGGCTTTTGGTCGGGGCTAAGCAAGGTTTAGTGTGTTTGGGGTAGGGCTTTAATTTGTTGTAAAGGGTCTGAGTAGGAGCCATTATAAGCGTGCCGTCAAACCTTTCTGTACATGCCAAAATATTAAGCCGAAAAGTTTAGAGTTTAGAGATCTTCCAGTGGAGAAGTCCACACACAGCAAAACCAACCCCCCAACTAAAAACGACGCCCACAACCCAACACTCAAATTCTACGTTACCAACTCCCAGAATCACTTCCTGAATCTAAAGCACTGTAAGACTCCATTTAGTATAAGAGCCCTACCAAAAAAAATAACCCTACAAAAGAAAGACCCTCAACCCTAAACCCCAAACGCCAAGCCACCTAATGTAGGGCCTTAATCATTAGAATAGGGTTTGGGGGGTATATACTATACTATGGTTATAATAAGGAGCCCCGAAAATAGTATAGGTAATCGTTATAAGGCCCATATATTAGGGCCCTGTAGGCCCCTATGTTACTTCCAGGGTCCGACCTGAGTTCGTGAAATACCTCGGAGGGCTCGCGGTCCAGTGTTTTGCCATGCTCAGCGGTGGCCACGTCCTGCGAAGGGAGTCAAGTCAATGAGATGTAGGGGCCTGAATAATTAGAATAGGGTTTCGGGGTCCTTTATAGTTTTTATGATAATAATTAACCCCCCCCCCAAAAAAAAATGTGGGTATTTATTGAGGCCCCTACATTGGGAGGTTTGGTGGTCTTGGGTTTCGAGTTTAGGGCTCAGGCTGGATGGGCTTATGGAAGCTCAGCTATAAATGATCAGATAACGGCTTCTCAATGTGAGAGGTAAATAAGAGTTTAAGAGTCCCTGTAACGAGGATCCTGTGCTTTGGTGTGGCTTGCCAGACTCTTCCAGGGCTTTTGTGGTTTGTGGTTCTGCCTATACTTATATATTAAGGATTTTATATAAGGTATCCCCAAAAAGGAACTACAATGGAGACTATAGGTGTAGAGTCCTCCAGTTTGTTCAGGGCCTGGAGGATGCAGCTATGGTTTGGACAAGAACGAAAAAGTTCAGGGAAGTTCGGGGGTATAGAGTGTAGGGTCTGCGCAAGCTGCTCCACAAAGGGTCGCATGGCTTTGGAATGTTTTGGCTCAAATGAACCGCCGGTAACCTCCCCACAAAATTGAAGCAGGACTTCGGGGTATAATTAAACATGATTACTAATGACCCCCCCAAAAAAAATGTTAGCAAGTCTTTAGGCTTCCATATTCGGACTTTCTCCTAAACCTGGCCGGCACCAAGGCTTCAGAGTCGCCTTTCTAAATCCCCTATGCACCATCCTACGAAATAGAGACTCCCTATCATACGAAGTCTTGACTAGTTCGGTCATGTTTGGGATGCTTTATTACGATGGAACCGATGGAACCCCCGTTGAAAGACTACCACGCATGATATCACCTAACCCAACTACAAGGATCCTCCCCTCAAAAAAAAAAGGAAACCCCTAAACCCCTAGACCCTAAACCCCTAAACCCTAAACCCCTAAACTCGGTTTAGGGGTCTAAACCCTGAACCCCTAAACCCTAGACCCGGTTTAGGGGTCTAAACCCTAAACCCCGAAGCACGATTTCTGACACAAGGCCTCCGAGTACGACTCTGGTCGTGGAGTTCGCGCACTCGAGCTGAAGACCTTACAGCCCGATCAATGCGAATGGGACTTGGCTATTTAGGGGTTTAGGGTTTAGGGGTTTAGGGTTTAGGGTTTAGGGGTTTAGGGGTTTATGGGCTCGGGACTTGGGTATTCAGGGGTTTCGGGGTTTAGGGGTTTGGGGGCTCAACTTTTGCAAGCTGCGCATGCTTGACCGGGTTTACTAAGTGGACGGCTGCATAGGGGTTGGGGGGCTCAACTTTTGGAAGCTGCGCATGGAAAGATGCGCATGTACATCTATATGGTGTGGCGTGGATTGGCACGATGTGGTGTGGTGTGGTCTGTCTGCATGTACACACATATTACATATATATATATATACACATACACATGTATACACATATACCTATACGTATACACATACATAGAAAGAGTACATGTATATATGCAGACGTACGCATGCACATACATACGTACGTACCTACCTACCTACCTACCTACCTACCTACCTCCCTCCCTGCCTGCCTGCCTGCCTGCCTGCCTGCCTGCCTGCCTGCCTACCTACGCACGCACGCACGCACGTACCTTTGTACACACACTCACATGCATAAACACCGAATGTGCTCACAGCGTGCATCATTCTTGATACGTAGCAGCAGTTGTCGTTGTGCTTCAGCTGGGCGAATCGGAGGAAAGCGCAGACAATCAGTCGCGTTATGGTCTGAGGGCGCGCACATTGGCAAAGCCGAGATGCATTGAGACCCAGATCTGGAAGGAAGTGGCCCAAAGCAGGGTCCATCCAGAATTTGTACTCCGCTTCCAACACTGGAAATACCTGTTACTCCCAAACAGCGAACAATTTGCACGCAGGCATAGAAGTCTGCGACGAGACACTTAAAAGTCCATTCTAGTATTTTAGGACTGAAAGCTTCAGATGAAAAGCATCAGCTAAAAAGTCAGGGAGAAGTCGGAGTGAATGGCCGACTGAACTCCGTGTGGACGCAGAGCAGTGCCTCGCGCAGCCACGCGTCATCGGCAGTGACCTCCAATACGGCCTGGACCATCTCGCCCAGCATGGGCGGCTGAGACCTGCTGCAGGAAGTAAGGACGTGGCTGGGTCGAGGTCGAGACGCCATATATATATATATATATGTATATATATATATATACATATATTAATATATGTCTAAGGACAGAACACAAGTGTCCCTGCTTTATGCTGCATGCTCCAAGCGGCCTGTCAAGATAGTACACTCGACCTCCATTGGGCACGAACCCGAACTGACGCACATAGTCGAGCAGGTTCTCGACCACACCTGATCGCCAAGAGAGCACCGAATGATCAGATCGACTAGACAACTTGCACTCACTGTGTTGTGCATAATACAGGGGTCTGAATAATTACCTATACTATTTTGGGGGCTCCTTATTACAACTATAGTATCATGGGCCCCATAATTCTATTCTAATTATTGAGGCCTCTCTATTAGAGTCTGATGTCGTCAAGGCACCCTTGGCCGTGTCGTTCATGCCACTCAGCAAAAGGCCGCGGACGATCCAGTAGGTGTCCTGCGCGTGCCATCAAGGCTCCCGAAAACTGGTGGAGTAATCTCGGGGCCTTAAGAACTAGAATTGGGTTTGGGGGTATACTACAACTATAAGAAGGAGCCCCAAAAACTCTACTCTAATCATTTAGGCCCCTACATTAACCCGTGCTTTCGAATCAGGAAGGCAGAGTGGGGATGGAGGGAGCGACACATGAGAGCGCTTGATAAGAGAAGGCCTGTCGTGTGGAGTAGCACGGGGCTCAGAACGGACGTGAAGCTAGTACCCTAAACCCGAAACCCTAAACCCTAAACCGTCGCAAAGTTCACAGTTCACCCCGACCGCCCGCGTTGGAATAGGACACCTTATAAACGGGATCCTAATCTGGAGCAAGGCCGAATCTCTAAAGCCCCCCACAACTCTTAGAACCGAGCCCTGTCAACCCTAACTTGTCGAAACCCAGAAGCCCTCGACAGACCCTAAACCCCAACCTCTTATAGGGTTTAGGGTTTAGGGTTTTAGGGTTTAGGGTATAGTGACCGTTGTATTAACACTTACCTCTAACATCGCTGGTCGTGATTAGCCGCTAGCCGAGTGTCCCAGTAGTAGGTCTCGCGGAATCTGCCGCCGGGAACCTGCTCTAGGTATCAAGATTCAGGGCTGGGGGTTGGAACTGTTAACAAGGCTTTCTGAGATGGGTAGTTGTCTAAATTAGAGTCCCTTTTAGGATCCTTTTTATAAGGGTGCCGTACTATATTGGGGACCCAAAAAGGGAACCTGATTTAGAGAACTACCCAGATGTTATAAGGGTCTTTCAAACTTGTGAGGGATATAGGGGTCTGTTCAACCATTGATGCAGGGCTTCTTAGGGTTTGGAGCTTCAAAGGGCTGACTCAAGCCTATGGCACTGGGAACTGTACAACTGGGTAGTATCTGGAAATAGGCCTAAATAGGCTTGATGGTTGTAGCGGTAAGGATCCAAGAACCTCTAGTTGAACATAACTGATTAGCCCCCCACAGCCAAACGGCAACCTGAAATCCCAACAGTGGCCTTCACACCCCGCCCACCCTCCACTCTGACTGAGTCCCGACACCCCTTCCTGCTCACCCCCCCAGGCACCACGCTTGCGAAGCGCTGTGGCAGGGCAGAGTGTCGCTGCGCAGCTGCCGCGACTGCAGGGCGCTGCTTTCGGCAAAGGTCCTGTCAGTCAAGGGGCAGGACGGTTATGATGCTGATGATGCCGGTGATGACGATGGTGATCCTTATGATGATGACCAATACTATAGTATTACGGTTGTTGGGGCTATCGATGTGTTTGCCTTAACATGCCTTACTAAGCCATAGTAAATCATCAAGTCTTATTGCCACTACTACGATTACTCGCATGACAAATGATGTTCTAACGGTTCTGTACTACTCCTACTACCATGATGATGATGATGATGACTACTATAACTGCTATTGCTATGGCACTGGGACTAGGTTTCGAGGTTTACAGATTCGTCGTAGGATGTTGAGAGCCATAGACTTTGCTTTGCAAAAACCGCTCCGCTGCATGGAGTCTCCAGTATCCGGACTCCCATTAAACAAAAAGAAGCTTAGAATGGCTCAGAACATTGCTGAGTGGGCTTGGGATTTAGGGTTCAGGGTATTGAAACCCTATGTCCTTTATGAAACCCTTAAAGAAACCCGACGTCCTTTATGAAACCCTTAAAGCCTAAGCATGGATAAACTTCTTCACGCTCTCTTGCCATGCGCCGCCTTCCAAATCTGATGAAGACCCATCGCCCACTGCCGCAAGGCCTGCTTTGTTGGGCATGTAGAATAGGATTTTGGGGCCCATTCTACCATAACTCTAATAAGGAACCCCCAAAAGAGTATAGGTAAATAATTGAGGCCTCTATATTAGGGCTGAGGGGGTTGCGGCCGAAAGCTTCCGTAAACTGTTAATGTTTGGGCCTTCATAATTTGAATAGGGTTTTGGGGTATATATTATACTATAATTATAATGAGGAACCCCCAAAATAGTATAGGGAATTATTAAGGCCCCTATATTACCCTTTCATAGGGTTTGTAAGTGTCCGAGACAGGGCTTTTATTACTTCATAGGGGCTAGTGGCACTTTGCGACGCAGCTGTGATTTTGGTTACCGGGTTTCTGTATTATCGCACTCCAATCGAGACATAAAAATGGCTAGCCATACCAGGGAATCACATTGAAGAGAATAGGTTCGCTTGTTTATCGGACTTGTCCTAAAGGGGCGTTCATGGGAATAAACTTTTCAGCCTTTCGGTGGTCCTGGCTTGTGCAGTTTCTACTGCGAGTCTTCTAGTAGACACTCACAAACCCTCAGCGTTTAGAGTTTCCAGGAGAGCCTATTTTAATCCTGAGTGGTCCGCTGGCAGACGGAGAATGCAAAACACCCACCAGAAATTTGGCAGAAGCTGAAAGGAGCCGCAAGCAGACAGCTCAACCCTAAACCCCAAACCCATGTTGGAGCTGCTTTGGGGGGCTTGACGGGATTCCGGCGGCCCAACCCAGCACATCTTGTGGCTCTGGATTGCAAACCATGAGATCTCAAACCAGAGCCCAAGCCCGAAATCCTAAAACTCTCAAGCCGAAAGCCACACAAATCCTCAGCTTTTGCAACCCCGAGAACACAAAAACTTCTCAAAGCCGCGCATGAGCGAAGCCAGCCTCATCCGGCAGTCTCGCCAGCTGTGGCGGGTTCGGCTGGTGGTCGGCCGGCACGAAGGGCTCGAGCTCTTGCCCCTCAGCCTCGTCATTTCTGAACTGTCCCCCCTCTCGCCACACTCTCAGAAACCCTACTTGGAGGTTCATGGGTAGTTGTAAGTGGAGTTATAAGTAGGGTAACTATAGTTATAAGCTATGTTAGGGGACTTATAACTCCACTTATAACTACCCATGAACCTTCAAGTAAGCCCAGAAACTCAAAGATCCGAGACCCTGCCTCGAAATGGGCCTCCACGAAGTTGCGCAAGGCCTCGATATTCTGCTTGTCCGGCAAGCGCCGGAAGGCCTGGCAGCGTCGCAGAAAAGGTCAGCGGGGAACGAAAGGAAACCTCTGGGGTTCAGGACTCAACCGACCTCGCAGGGAATGGAAAGTTGAGGTATCTTCAGACCCATGTCTATGCTACCTTAGTTGCAGTCCCTTATCCATCTGCGCCTCGAGAACCTCTTCTGGCTCAACACCTTGGCAGAGGGTTGGGGTCTGGATGCTATGGTCGGTGGGTCTCCCCTCCCCTTGCCGCCGACAGGTCAAGGCACACAGAGGGGAAGGTTTGGCTTCCCCCAACATCCCAAACCCGAGCCTGAGCCGCCCAAACCCCAAACCCCAAACCGACAACAGAGCGTTTGCGCAGCCGTAAAGTGCCTTAACAACACATTTCAGCAAGGGTTGACGACTCGACGAGACGTCTATGGGACCCAACTAAGACAGCAGCGCGAGTTGGACTCGATCTGTCTGTCAGAATATAGCTGTCCCGTCTGTCGCATGACATTATGCCTTCTTTCTTTACCTTGCTTTACATGGTGTAGTACTCGTTGTAGAAATCTCTTTGTATTTATGAAGATATGCAGCGACATGCACATACATACCTACATATACATGTAACTAGTGCTCTCTTGATAAAATATATCTACATAAAAAGGTGTTTGTCAATGTGTCCTCTACGTATAGACACACACACACACACAATCCAGCCCGTGTCTGTGTGCTTGCACAGCGAGTATCGTATGCACAACTGTAGTGTTCTTTGCATGTCTACTTCTCGATTATTGTGTCGTTTGTGCAAAGTCTGCAGCCGAATGAACATGCCCCCTATGGCCTGACCCTAAGCCTCAACCTCTCAACCCCAAATCACAACCTTTACCCTAAACCCTAAACCCTAAACCCTAAAGCCTAAAGACCTAAAACCTAATGCCTCCAAACCTTGAGCCTTAATTGATAGACTCTCTGGAAGGGCGACCCGTCGGATGAGGCCGGTGCGGAGCGGTCTATCAACGAAAGTCTTGGAGTCCTCATGTTCGGTTACTATAGGGCCCTTAATAGTTAGAATAGGGTTTCGGGGTATTGTACACTATAATTATAAACCCTATTCTAAGTATTAAGGCCTCTACATTACGGCATAACACACACTTTAAAGCTCTCGGCTTGAGGATTCAAGGCTTCAGGCCGTTGGGGTGAATCAGGGACGAGGATGGACCAGGGTTCGCGTGAAGTTCATGAGTTCAGAGTTTTTGGGGTGAGGAGATTCGATTCAGGATTCAGAGCAGCTCAGGCCTAGAACTGCAGGTACTAGGGGTATTTTTGGGGTTGAAGAGTGTTGGGTAGTGGGGCCGATTAGGGTTTCGGCGCTTCGGGGTTTCAGGGCTTCAGATTGGTGTTCTCTCACCCTTTTGCTTAGCTACGAAGAAATAAAGGACTTCTACTCTCTGGACATACGCTCTATTCGCTCCGGGGCTTCAGTATATATACTGACTAGAAGGACCATTTTTACGACACCTTTATCTGGATTTAAAACAGAGTCTCTTGCAGCTACACTCTCGGGACCCCGATATCCCGACCAGAAACCTCCTTCTCATATCTTGGCCTGCTACCATGTCCTTTTGACAAATGCATGCGAGAAAACTCCCAACACAACACAACTATTACGAAAGAAACGGCCGGAACTGGAGTGCCAGGGCCTTTGGAATTACAAATGCAAGTCTACTGCGGCGAACGTAGCCGAATGATACTCTTCAATCGTCCTTGGACTATTGGCACTGCAGCCCCGTACACCGCATCCTTCAGCATGCAGCCGCTCAAGAACCCAGGCCGCAGTCCTCAAAAAGGCGAGCTCGCTGTATCGTATCCAGCAGCTCACCTGCCCAAGCAACCCTACGAATTGGCTGATGGGAGACCCTGGCTCAAGATTGTGGCTCCTGCGGTGCTGGAGTAGTATAGGGGCCTTAATAATTAGAATAGGGCTTTTGGGCCCAATATACTATAATTATAATAAGGAACCCCCACAATAGTCTTGGTAACTATTTAGACTCCTACATTAGGGAAATGGTGGGTGTAATGTGCAGTCCTTGAAAGCGTGTTATCGCAGGAATCTTCGGTCCACATTTCATGGCTCTTCTTCGCAGACGACCTAGGGGTGATTGGAGCGTGATCTTGCCGGCAGGCCTTTCAGCGATTCAACGGGACCATCCGAGAAGGTGCACGTGATTAGGGTCTGTAGATTTGACTGTTCTATATAGACAACCTAAGCAGCTTTAACTTAAGTCCTACGTCAAGACTAGCTCCACGTCTTCAACTCTAAGTGGCAAAAAATCCGATAGCCCGTACAATAATCCGACTGATTGTTTCCAGGGCTTCGTGAATGCTAAACACATCTAAACACCATGCAGAGAAGTTAGAAACCAACCTGTTCACCCTTACAGCAACCCTTCTAGTGGCCCTTTCACAACCCCCCAAAACCCCAACCTCCACTTCAGGGGCTGGGCCCCGTGGCCTTCGCAAAAGACGCTGCAGGCCCTCCGCACTGGCTCAGGCAGGGAAGGGGCCACGGCCTGGTGGAGCTCTAAAAGTCCAGGGTTGGCAGGGTCAAGGTCAGGGTTAGTGGTTATAGGGTTTATGGGTTTAGGACTTAGGGTTAGGGTTTGAGGTTCAGGGTTGAGGGTTTAGGGTACAGGGCTTGGGATTTTGCGGTTTAAGGGGGGAATCAGGGTTTTGGATGCAGAGAGAGTTTTGGTGTTTGGGGTGTAGGGCTTAAACCTCTCAGGGTTTAGGTTGAAGCCTGTATCTAATGTAAGCTCGTGACTAAAAAAACCTCGTTCTTCACAGACCCTACAGTAAAAATAGGATCCCTGTCATCATCCTTGTGAAGGGAGAAGGTTTGCTAATCGGGGGTCTGCACTGGGCTTCAGGGCTTTAAGGGTTGGGGTTCAAGGCTCTAGGGATTCATAGCATGTGCGGCTTCATGCCCCATGTTTCAAAAAGCCGGGCTCAACAGGAAGCTGATAACTGCAGTAGGGGCGACAACAGTTGTCACAAAGGGCACGATACTGATATCAATGCTTCATATCAGTTGATATCTTTCTGACATCTCTGCAATATAACTCAAGATAAAATCGGATCGACACTCTCACATTGATCCTTATTGATTCTTCTCGTCAATACCGAACTGACATCTTCCGGATTGTGCTTGCAGGGAACCAGATCAATTTTGGCATGTTGTGGCTGGATGGGCCTAATGGAAATGGGAGAAGATTGCAAGAACACAACTTGATCTGGACGACTTCTCTCACGAAGACTGCCTGATGCAGTCGGGATTTGTCCCACCCTTTCTGGCTGCTTCGCGACTGTAGGCCGGCGCACTAGTCGCTTTGCAGCTGCACCTTTGGCATTGAGTAGAACTCGTCCTGCGACGTGATGAGACGTTTGACCGATCTTGACCAAAATTTCCGAGAACCCTAAGCTGCTAAATCCTACGACAACCCAAAACCCTGAAACTCTACGACTCTCTAAACCCCAACAGCCCCGAAGCTTTCATCACTTCCACAGCCAAATGGGTAGTCCTCTAAACTAGGGTCCGTTTTTATATTCCGCACCATTACAAAAGGACTCTAAAGGGACCCTAATTTCGACAACCAATATAAGGGCCTTATTCAGTGGAATAGGGTTTTCGGGTATATTATATTATAGCTATAATAACGAACCCCCCCCCCCAAATAGTATTGGTAATTCTCCAGGCCCCTATCGTACCCAAATTTAGCATCCTCAGCTCCCGACCATCCCGGGCACAAACATAGCCACCAGGTGCAGAGCGCAAGGCGCGAGAACACGCATGGCGGACCGACTTTTTGCTTTTTGTCTTGCGGGTCATATTCGGGATTGTGGGAGTCCGGGCTTCAGTTTTGATGTAGAGATTAGGGTTAGGGTGTGCTGTGTAGGTGCCGTAGATGATAGACTGATAGACTGTGGTTGAAGGATCCCATCACAAGCTAACCCCCAACCTTCAGAAACATGCGCAAGACTAACCGTGGGGATCCTTTTGAGACTCTCGTGCGTCGACTTCAGCCCTATCTTTGCTTTCAAAGCCACTTGGCTGCTTCGTCGATCAGCCTAAAGCAGGTCTGGAAACCTGATCAATCATGTCCGGGTTTGGGTACAGATTTGGGGTCTCTTTGCGAAGCTTCAGCCCTGAAATATCTGAAATATACCGTGTGGGAAATAAGAGGAATGCATTATGTTAGTATGCGTAGTTTTGTGCACAAGGTCCCGGCAAAATCCTAAAGAGTCATCCTGGCATCTGAGAGCTCTCCAGTGTGAGCAGCGAGGCTCACATAATCAGTGCACCAAGCCGGTAAAGTACCATGATGCCTGACGTCCGGCGCCCACTTACTCACCCTAAGGATCCATGTGCACAAATAGTATTTACATTGCCCAAAGTACCTGTATAGGGACTACTTTAAGGCCAAAGTATATACTGTCTGAGTACATGGACCCTTAGGGTTACGTCTACCTACAAGATTGAATTTGTTGACGGCGTCGCCCTACGACTTCCTCTACTACACTTCTTCTACTATGCTGTTATGTTGATGATGATGGCAATGTGTTGTGCCCAAGCTCAGACACATGTAGCATGCTGCGCCCCCTGCCCTGCCCTGGTCCGCTAAGCGTGGCAGCACGGACGTAGCCGCAAGAAGAGGCAGGACGTGGTGTAGGAGTGCAGGTACGTCCTGCTCACTGTGGTATGTGGGTCTCGTCCGAGCGACTAGCCGGCCGTATCAATTTGAAACCACATCCACAGCGACTCTGTCCGCAGACCAACTGGTCCAAACTCGCCACCTGCGAAGAAACCGACCTTGTTGCATTGGGTCCAGGCTTGTGCTTCCAAGCTTTGCAAAACTCAAGGTAGGTTGGACGGTGTGTTGAAATTTGGTTGACATCCACTAATGATCATCCAGCAAACACGCCACCTGACTGCGAATGAGAAAATCCTGCATTGTGCAACTGTACCACTGCTTGGGATACCTGTGAGGTACGAAAGACTTTAGGATTGTGTCCATTAGTCGTATGACTAGCGCTGCAGCAACAAGCATCATGCACGTCTGGTCAGGTTCTCATCATCGCCGGTGCCTGCGTGCACTCGTCTCGATGCACTCGCTCCCTCTGAGATTCGGACCGCAGGGACATCGCGACCCCAAACCTCTCGTAGAATGGCGCCTTGGGTTTTGACAGCACGGCCATGCAACCAGACTTCACGCTACACCTAGCATCTTTACGTTGATGCGTGTAGTGCTCAATGCTGCATCAGCACCTACCATCGGCCTTCAACGCAGTTTTAGGGTTTAGGCTTTAAAGGGTTCTTGATTGGTAGACTTTGCGGACATCCTGAACCGCAGAACCTGCGTAGAACCCCTGAGGCTCCGACTCTCTACCCCCTCCTCCTGGTAGAAGCTGACACCACGAGCACCGCAAAAGACCAAGACCTGGCTCAGGTACCAAAGGGAGCGATAGATAGATAGAACAATCATTATATTTATATATACATATATATATATATAGTATTATATATACACCTACCTACCTACCTACCTACCTACCTACCTACCTACCTACATACATAAATACATACATTACATACATTACATACACTACAGACATTACATACACTACAGACATTACATACCATGCATACAGGACATACATGACATACATGACATACATGAAATACATACATACATACATACATACATACATACATACAGACAGACATACATACAGATATGCATACATACAGGCACATACATACATCTACATACATACACCTACATACATACATACATACATACATACATACATACATATACATACATATACATACATCTACAAACATCTACATACATCTACATACATCTACATACATCTACATACATCTACATACATCTACATTATATTCACATCCACCTACATAAATACATACATGCATACCATACCATACATACCATACATACCATACATACCATACATACCATACATACCATACATACCATACATACCATACATACATACATACATACATACATACATACAGACAGACATACATACCTACGTACGTACGTATGTACGTACGTACGTACGTACTTACGTACGTACATACGTACATGCATATGATGCCGCCTATGACAACAGCTGCGGGTAGCTGGGAGAGAGAAAGCCTCAAGTCCTGAGATCAATCATGGCACGCCTCTTCAATGACTTGTGTGAGCAGCGTGTCAGGCTACGGCTCGGCTAGTTGCAGCCCACGACTATAGGAATGCTTGAACACAACAAGAATCGACCTCTGATATCTTATATCTTCGACACGACCTGCAAAAGCCTACGGAGAAGAACGCCACAAGACGAAACAGGAGAAGAATTCCGAAAGCCCAATGTCAAAGCCCTAAAATCGTAAAACCTAAGACCCTAAACCGCACAAACCCCAAAACTGAGGTCCAGGCTGCAGCATCAGGAGGACGCCCCTCATGTAGTGCCATGTCCTCAGCTGCCCGGCGTGTGAGGGCTTCCCGCCTTAGGGTTTGGGGCGTATATTGGTTTCTGAGGTTCAGGTGCTATTTACGGTAAAGAACGTAAATATTGAATATGGCTGCAGTAGTACGGGTGTATAAGGCTCTGGTTGCGTGTGGACTTCTATAGGTATGTTCCTTAACGGCATCCCGGAGTTTTGCCTCTGGGTGTTCTTGAAGGCTGGTTGTAAGGTCTGGGTTAGGGAATTAGGTGTAGAATAGTAGAATGTGGGGTTCGGGTCGTAAGTGGCAACCTCAGCCAGCCTGTAGTGTACAGGTCAGGGACAAGTCGAGGTATGTCGGGCTATACCCTCCGCTCGAGCTGCACAGCTGCATGACTGTGAAGAGAGAATTCTCGCCTCTCACTTTTGTGAAAAAAGCATTACACATAACTCTACATATATATGTATATACAATTGTGAAGCAAACCTGTTTAGTCTATACACAGGCACTCAGGCTAATCTCCGCGATGCATGCTGTGGAGACGTTTGCTAGTACCACCATTCAAGTCGTCATGGAAACATGCTTTCGGTTTCTTTAACAAGCTGGAATTGGGCTTAGGGGTATATGATAGCATCACTATCGTGCGGAGACGTAAGGTTCTATACGCGCATGCGAACACAAAGTTACCGCTTGCATGCGGAATACGTCTGTTCCAAAAGCGCCGTCTGAGCCTTCGCGATGGGTTATCGGATTCTTGCTATAACTTGTAGCCTCTGTAGTACCCCTTTAGTCGCTAGTAACCCTTATAGTGGCCATTCCTTATAGTAACCTGCAGTAATCCCTGTGTGGTAAACCCCTTTTAAAACCCTAACTCCAAATCCAAACCTTCAGGATTCAACGAACTGAAACACCGATCAAACTGACTGCGCTTCTCCTCATCATGAACCCCATGTTGAGTCTGCTTCTCTGCTTCTGCTACGACCACCATCTCGGAGAGTTTGTTGTTGCTGTTCGCCCCAGGCAAAGTCTATAAGCCCAAAAGAAAACTCTCTGGG